TTTTTTTTAACTAAGCTGAGCTTGTTTTAAAAAAAAAAAAAAATCTCTTCCAAAATAAAAGTTTCCCCGCATGTTTTTACGTCATGTGGATAGAGCATTGTAACCTTGGGTCATTTTTCTACAATAACTATTTTATTTGGTTGTTTGCTTATTTTGGTAGTTCGGTCAGTAAAGGTAAATGTTTCTGCTTTTTTGTTCTAATTTGTATTTCTGAAGCGGTAAGATGTTGCTTTTTGTTAGGTATTCACACGTGGTCTAAACTCTGCACCTCACGCCTTGTGGGGTTTATGCAGTTTACAAACCCGGATATGAATGTCGAGGTAATTTAACTGAAATTTTTGAAGTAACTACTGTAGTAAGTAAACATTTTTTTCAGGTACATTAATTATGAATAAAGTCTTCCGCCCTTGTACATACAACAACACATTTCTAATATTAGCCCTGTGACAGAGAGTAGTTCTTGTTCTTGTTTTTCTCACAGCATGTGTGCTACTGATAACACTGATAAGATCATCAGAGCTTTCAGGAACCTCAGTGGTTGGGTAAAGGAGGCCCGATTCCTCTTGAGAAACGTCAAGTTATTTCCGAACTCATTTCCCCCCCCCCTGTTCACACTGAGCTGCTTTTTTTCAGAGGCTCCTTCTTCCCTCAGTGTTTAATCAGACCCGCCGTGTTTGTTGTCTTATCGCAGTTCCTTCCTCGGCACAGGACATTCTCCGTGTCCAACGTTAAATGCCAACTTTATCACTGTCTAGCTTTCAACAGCTTTCATTGGGCTTAAAACTCAATACCAAATCTGAATGTCGACACTAAACACATGACAATTTAATCAAATTAATCCATGGCGTTTACTGCAGTTATATTTGGAGTACTCATTTGTGTGGAGATCCTTTCTCTCTGTTCAGTGTTAAATCTCCAAGGACTAAATATGTTGTGCAAACGCAGGTCTGGACAAGACTAGAATAAATTCCCTGAATAATCAGCTGTTACAGTTACTGTTGCCTCGGGCGTATTTACTGACGTTGTTGTTGTTGTGTTAGTCTGTCATTTTCAACCTGTACTGTCAGTAATACCACTGACAAATTAGAAACTATGAATACACAAAGGTACATAAAGCAATATTTTTTACACAATGTTAATCTTTTTAATTTAATTTGTTGGCAATTCCCTTTAAAGACACAAAGAACACTCAACCATTCATTGCCCGAGGATATAAATATTTAATTGCGGTGTTTTCCTCCATGTGTAGAACATGTCCAGTCATGCGATCGGCTTGTGAGGTGCTGCCTTTTAACCGGAGATGTTTAACCAGAGATGTTGATCATTTAGGTTTGTTCATTAACAGGACAATTCTTCATCATTTGTTGTGAAGTAAATCTTAAAAAATTTCACTGGTATACACTGGTCATACATTTTTAAAAAAACAAAAATCTGAGCAGAAATGCATAGGAGGGTCAGTCTGCTTTTCTCGTCAGGTTAATGATCAATGTAAAGAATTAATATGTACTGTATATTTAATTTTTCTTTTTTTCATAGGGTCAAATGTCCTTTAATGAAGCCCAGGGTTTCGTTTAACTGAGAGCCATAATCAGTACCACAGTAACCCCTGTGTCTTACAGGCTTCTGCAGGCCAAAACAAGCTAGAAAACAGACAGGTAAACACACTCAATATAACAAATACAATTCTGTCTTTTTAAATACATGTTTGTTTACAGAAACTGTGTAGCAACAAGTTGTAAGCAGGTGCTTTCGGTATATGCAGCTTTAAAATCGCATTATTAGGACGTGACTTTAACGCCATTTAAATGCACCGTCTCACTTTGTGAACGCCAGTGAGTACCATTGAATTTCTAGTTATGCTGATATTGAAGTTGTTGTCATTTAATTTTATTTTTTAATTTTTTTTTTTATTCCTAGAGTCCTCCTGCTTTGGTGCTGAGACATTTATGTTGAGCTTCGACCGAGAGGTTGTCAACAACCACATCCCTTCCTTCACATCTGCCATCTGCCTGATGTTTGGCAGTTACTACTGCTTCAACATACACTACCTGGTAAAACTACAGTCCACACTTGAGTTCCTCCAACGGGAAAAATTGATTTCTTTATCATTATTAAAATTACAAATAGTTCCTAGCATACCCTGCATGCAGTAATACTGAGTAAACTCTGAGTAAAAAAAATGTTATCAGTCAGTCCCAGAGTCTTGACACTGATCTCAGACCTTGCCGACCATGAGTGGACCTACCAGTGATGTTGAGGGATGATGTGATAAAAGGTACGTTTGATATGATATACACTGCAGATATTTTGTTGTTAAAGGTGTGTACCTATTAAATCTGTCCACTGCAATCATTTTAAAAACAAACAAAACTAATTTTGTTCTCACCCCTTCTCTCTCTCATGAAGGAGTTTCTTTTCATCTACAGAGGCATCAAAGTTGAGTGTAAAAAGAAAATAATCGTTGGCTTTTTTTAAACTTAGTTTGTAAGTAGTGTTTTTACTGCAGTTTGTTGTGCTGCAAAGAAAAAAGTTTGGACTTCAAATAGTTTGTATTGGAAAGTACTATTGTGAATGTCTTTTGTGATTTTTGGAACATTAACTATTCTGTTTGGACCTTAATATTCGCAAGAATCTATGGTATCTTTTACAGAATAAATTTGTAGCTTACAATTTATACCGTTAATTGTACAGAAAAATAAGGAATCAAGCACACTTTCTAACCGTAAAGTCAACATTATCAAGCCTACGGTTAACTACGGTTGCTGCCATTGTAATGTTAAAATAAAAATATTCCCATGTCAATTTTAAATAAAAACAATGTATTTTTCAAATAATAGAACTTTATTTTACAATAAAAATACTGAAGAACATAAATTTATTTACCGTAAATGAAGAAAGTATTTTACGGCACTTTTTCGGCAACCACGGCTGCCGGTACTTTACCGTAAAAACAGCAGATTTTTTTTTTTTTTTTAACAGTGTATATACATATAATACTTCTGACACAAAACTCAAGTTTAGACAAAAACTGTATACAACTCAACCCTCATAAAAAGAATTCAGGGTGATATTCAATAAAAGTCAAATTAGCTTATTTGGGCGATACAAATCATAATGACTTGACTTAATCAAGAAAAGCCCTTCTTTCTCGAACTTATTCTCTTGTACTTTTGAACGTCGTACCTTCCAGAACGACATGCGCGACTCTACAGTACCCGTAACATCCCTGTTTGCGGGGTCGCTGAACACAAACAACATTCTCATAATGGTTGCCATCACAGTTTTCCAAATACACACCCTGCCTGGACCTGGCTTTCTTACTGCAGCTGTACTCCAGCCATTGGCCATCGCAGAAGGTGAATACATTGATGCCAAAACAGTCAGCAGCTGCTTGAATCTCGACCTCCGTCGCCCAGCTGCCCAAATAAGGCATTTGAGATGCCTCCAAATAATCGGCCATTGACGAATAATTACTGCGCAGAATACTCTCATAAGCCGCGGCGTTGTTTTCCAGGTGTTTGACCACAGCCAGTCGAAACCTCAGGTGATGCTTCTGGCTGCCGCACACAGTTTGACTGAGGGCTCTAAAGAAACAGTTTCCATCGGCTTCTGTTTCCTTATTCTTACATGGAGCTCCTAACGAACCCCACCGTGTGGATGAGGGGACTTCACATTTCTCCGGCTTTATACGTAGCTTCTTGCACAGAGCTGACGCCACGTTATTACGAAGAGGATTGAAGCGCAACTTCTTCCCTCTGACATTGCCAACAACAACCAAATCCGGGCTTGACCCATTCCGCTCCCTACGACTGCTCGTCGTGGAGTCTTCTCTAACTTCTGGTCTACTTCTAGACATTTCCAGTTCACTGCCCCGTACTTTCATGTTGCTTAGCTTTTCCTGAGTGTTCGTCTGTTAGTTTCTTTGTCGGCCCCGACGTTCCAGTAGTTGCCTAAAATGAATTTTAGTCCTGTTAATAGCAGTTAGCATGAATGTTCTATGTTTGAATTAGCTGTTTGGTAGTTACGTTTAAAAGATGGTTGGTTGGTTGTCGATAGGTTGGTTGTTTGGTGAATTGGTTGTTTGTCGGTTGGTAGGTTGCTTGGTTTCTCAAGGTCTCGGTCATTTATGGGGAGATCTGTGTGGTGTTGGTAGCCTATGTGGCGCACATGTACGTTTGTTGGTAGCCTATGTACGTTTGTTTTCCACATCCATGTCGACATAAATGTTTTATTTACCCTGTCTTTGTTCTAGGAAGGACGCGCTTTGATGACTTTAGTCTGTCCTTTGATAGTCACATGTATACATTATAGCGCTACAAAGCTATGGGGATGCGTTGCATGAAAAGTCAAAGATGGCAGTGATGTCACATGTTAACGAACCACAACCACTACCAAATAAGGTCCGATTTCCTATATGTGTGTGCCTTTTTTTTTTTTTTTTACTAAAATATTTTTTTGCTTTTGGTTTCTAAAGATTTTGATTCAAGTAGAAACGGTTACCAATGACTGGGGGGGAAGTGTTTTATTCATTTTTACACACTTCAGAAATCAATAGAAATGACATAATTAGAAAACATATTTATAATTAAAATATTACAGTACTTACCCAGTACTTTCACAAATTAGACTACAGCTTCAAGCGGCTCTGTCGTCTGTATTTTTAGACAGTGTAATTCCGGACTCCACTTAGTGATTTATGAATATCTCTTTTGACACATATTTTACTACTTTACTTTTGAGACCCCAAAGATCGATGCTATGATCAAATTAACTCAGATATCTATACAGTATTTATTACAGATAAATGTCCTGAGGGATGTCAATACACTATTTGCAGTACTCCACTTTAGGGGGGGCGCACTAACGGGATTACTCAACAGTGTAACGTTGTGCATTTAAAACAGACAAGGTGTCACACGGAACAGTCCGCTGTTTACTATTGACGGTGATCGTCGTTTCTGTTATTTCTGTTATTTCTGTTTAGGTTTTTATTTAAACAATGTAGAGAAGCATACACCGAAGATAAAAAAAAAGGGAATAAAGATTTGAAGAACTTGTTAGAAAGACTCTGAAGGCACGCAGTTAGACTTAACCAGACCGGAAACTGCGAAAGACTGTGCCTTCAATATAAAAGTATTTTCCCATCTCAACATTAATGTCGAGGCATCTTCATATGTAATTATTCACATTCCAAATAGAGTACTATTTTTATTTGTATATCAAATGATTCGCAGAATTTATATAATTTTGATTTAAATTTGATTTTTATTATACCGATACTTTACTGATGTGGAGAAAACAGGTAAATCTAAGAAAATAAATGTAAAAAATATCTTCACTGCTTTCCTAATTAATTTACTTCTGCTAGTACTTTGTTTGACTGGCTTTTGCTTTTAGAAGTATAACTATATATTTGCTATACTGCACTTTTTTTTAACCAACATACATATCACAATTCCTAAAATAACCCCACAGAAAACACACAAAAAAATTAATTAAAAAAAATTCAACATTGAACCTACCCAGCAGTGGCACAAATGAAAAAAATATTAAAATTAAAATGAATTAAATCCTTCCTATAATGGGTCCATGTCCTTTAGAGAGCCGTCCCCTCTACTTTGGAAACCACTGCCTTAAAGTGACTGGAGCCATTTGTGTGATGTTTTGATTTGCAGGCAGTGTTTAGCCAATTCCCATTCCTACATACGCCTTAAATTCATGCTCTTGTCTCAGTTTTGTTCCATTATCGTGTTTGTTATAGTTGTTTGATGTTTTGAGACTAAATTTACATTCAAATAACTTTCCCTGTTTCACAGACCAGCAACACTGTTCACTAATGGGTGACTTTAATGATAAACCGTTTCTTCTTTGAGTTCTGCCTCATTGTTTAATAATATTTGTAACGAGGTTTTCTTTTCTTTCTTTTTTTTACATCAGCTAGCTAGCCAAACGACCTCTAAAGAGTGTTACGTCACCACCCGCGTACTTTATTTTGAATATTGAAAACCGGAAGCACTGTGCCTCTTTAAACCTAACTTGGTTGTCAGTGTGCGGCTGTGCTTGCTGTAGGGCTGGCTGATTTGCCGGTGTTCGCTCCGCTCTCTCTCGCTCTCTCTCACTCTCTCACTCTTTCTCTCTGAGCTCCTATGTCTCTCTCTCAGAGCTCAGCACTCACTCCGCCACAGCTTCTGCTTCTCTTCCCCTAAATTTAAAATACGGTATTTAGAAAAAGGCTGTCACGCTGATTTAAAGGAAGACCTCGTTGGGCTCTTTTTTTTTTGGAGGGGAGTGGGACGACTCCTAGCGGATGTGTTCTTCGTCCTCTCTTCTGCAGCGCCCCGCATTGCAACGGGATGGGAGTTGGATGAAGAGAAAGTCGGACGTGAATTTTGAAGGAACGGGAGAGTGAGGAGCTGCAGCCTGATATAGCTCCCACGGCCGACATGACCTACATACCACAGAGCTTAACTCCAGGATGGACACAGTAACTGATGCTGCCGCTGCCGCCGCCGCTCTCCCTCCAACCGCTGATGTTAGTGACCTTCGTGTCTATTTGCTGCAGCTACAGAGAAGGAACAAGTGCGTGTGTGCCAGTTTACTAACCCAACAAAGCTAACGCGAGATCTACGCACAGGAACGAAGCTGGACCAAATCTGCATGCTGGATATATTGTTGACCTTCTGTCCCCTGTGGAGTCACTGAACCAGGTAAATAATTCAAGGAATTGACCTGAGGCTCCAGGAAACTTTCACATACTACTGTGAGACCACACAGACCCCCTCCTCTTCTGCACCAAGTCACATGGATGGGAGGTTCAAAGGTCTAGAACAAAGCAAGGTCTGGGACTTTACACCCTGTAAATCTTTTATCTCCTCCTCATGAAGACTGGACAGTTTTTCTTGAACTAATCAAAGCAACCCAGCAATAATAAAAAAAGTTAAAGTTCAACACAGGTGAAGTTCAGATCCGATCAGAGATTCATTTTCAGACTGTCGGTAGACAAATCTCTCTGCCATGCTGCTAGACTGTGGTCAGCCGTTACCTCTGCTGAGGCACACGGATGTGCCACCGCGGGTCATCGAGAACTTCATCCTGACTGGCTACCGCTTCCCGAACTACAGCTTGAGGGACTGCTTGCTTTCAGCATTCAGGCCCACCAATGAAACAGGCAACTTCTGGACCCACTTCCTGCCAGTGTTTGTTTTTTCTTACTATTTTGTGGAGGTGTTCGGCTGGGACGGGGCGCCGCAGGGCGACGCCCCGTTCTTCTATCCTTTGTGGAACTACTACATTGGCGTCTTCTGTCTGCTGATGGCGAGCAGCATGGCCCATCTGCTCAACTCGATGTCCCTGGTGGTAAGGGAAGTCTGCTTTTTTGTGGATTACGGCACCATCAGCTCGTACACCGTCGGCTCATCGCTGGCATATTACTACTACATCCACCCACGGGCGGGTGTCGTGGAGAAGGCAGGCCAAAACAACTCCTACTCTGATGTAGAACCCGAACCTGCGGGACGTTTGTCTTCATCCCATGCCGTCCAGCATTTCAACGTCTTCTTCGAGACCTGCTACATCCCCTGCGCTTGTGTGGTGGCGATCATTTGCGTCCTGTCCTGCTGCAACACCCGCCAGCGGTGGAGGCGGCATCGGTACATCATCCGAACCTTTGTGTTCCTCCTACCGTTCCTTGTCTCCTCCACACCGATCTTCTACCGTCTTTTCACCAGATCACCTTACCCCGCCACTTCCTCCTCCTTTGCCGTCTCGGCTTCGATGCCCGTCTACTTCTACCGCCACTGCCTCTGGCTGCTGGTGTCGGCCATCTTCAACATCAGCAAGTTTCCTGAACGTCTGGCCCCCGGTCGCTTCGACATCTGGGGCCACAGCCACCAGTGGTTCCACTGCTTCACGTTCCTCTCCATCCTCGACGAACTCCACATGATCAAGACAGAGGTGAAGGCCCTCCTGCTGGGACCGTCTCTGCTGCTGCCCCCTGCTGCCCAACCACACCTGCCTGGACCTACGGTGTTATCCACCTACGGGGTCATGCTTCTCCTGCAGACCACCATAATCTCCATCATCATCTGGTTCTCCTGGTGTGCCAGCTCTAGCTACGGACCCCAGGGGGACAAGCTTGACAAGGAAGACCACAAGGAACACACCAAATGTCACTGATCGCCCTTTAAAAAAACTCAATTGTTAAAGAGTTGCTCCTGCGCCTGGAGCAGTGCTACAGAGGACTTTTTTTTTTTTTTGTAAAAATCAAGTCCCTTCCCTCACATTTGTTCCCGGATGTATCACTCACGAGCTTGAGATAAGGACAATGGATGACGACGGGATCATTTTCTCGGATGATCGCGGCAGTGGCCGTATGCTCCAGTGGATTTTGAAAGAACTTGCAAACTCGCAGTCCTTGAGGTGTTCCAGGCATGTTCTGACAGGATGCATGTGCATTGGGAGATAACTGCTACCTCCCGGGGCTGTATACTCTGGGACAGAGCAAAGGTGTTGGCACCCACGAGTACACGTCCCATGTAACATTAGCGTAATTTGGTGCGAAAGTAACTGCGACCAATCATCATGTCTGCACGTCCTCTTCCTTTGACCTCAAATGATGTCTGTTGACATTTGCCTTCGTTGTTTGTGTAGTCACTGAGATGGTCAGGTATTTGGACGTGTCGTTGTTTGGGGTACTTACACATAGTGACCACCAACAGTGCTGTGCACACGTTATTTAGAGGCGCTCTCGCTCAGTAAAACATGGCTGCCTGCAGGGACACATTTGATCGTCCAATCAAAATGAAATCTCATTTATTTGCCGTCCATTTAAACCATGACCGCAAACTACACCTGATAATGGCAGCCGTGTCTTCCAGTCATAGAGAGTGTCCGTGGTGCTGTCCCAGCCAACTATGTGCCAGGATCTTAAAACAATTGCACTTCAAAAAAATGAATAGCTTTCCTCTAATCCAGCGGTGTCAAACATACGGCTCGGGGGCCAAAACCGGCCCGCTACAGGGTTCAATCCGGCCTGCTTGACAAATTTTGAAAGTAAAAGAAATGCACAAAAACTTCATGTTTCTGATGTTTTGTCAAATTATATTTCAGTTAACATAAATATTTCGTCTTTTTTTTTTTTGCAGGAAAACTTGACTTATTATGACTGTACTGGTCCGGCCCATTTGACATCTATTCAGTGTATGTGGCCCCTTGAACCAAAACGAGTTTGACACCCCTGTTCTAACCCTCTTTTTTTTTTTTTCCCCTCTCTGACTTGCACAATAACCCCAGTCTCTCTTTTTTTTTTTCCCTCTGACTTGCACAATAACCCCAGTCTCAATTCCTCTCCTTCCAAGTGACCCTCGCAGCAGGAAGTGCCGTGGCCTTGCAGACATAACAGAAATAGCGACGTGCTTGTATCAGTCTTAGCAAAGCATTTTCAAAGGAGTCGGGGGATTGGGGGAGGGTTCCCTTGTTATCTAGAAGCCATGTTCAGTTTCTAATCCTGATGGGACTCAGTTTCACATGCCATGTGATGTACAGCAGCCTTAGAGCAAAAGCCATATTGTAGAACAGGGTCTTCAGCACCTTCTTGGATAGATTTGCACGCCTTCGTGGATTAGATTAGATGAGATTAGATTAGAATAGAATAGTCCTAATGGCAGTTCGTGCCTAATGTGTATTAGTTATTTGCATTTGTTTTCCCCATTTTTACATTTCATGTCAACTCTGTTTTGTTGTGATCCTTGACGAGGACTCTAAACCACAACCCTGAATAGTCCTAATGGCAGTTTGTGCCTAATGTGTATTAGTTATTTGCGTTTGTTTTCCCCATTTTTACATTTAATGTCAACTCTGTTTTGTTGTGATCCTCGACGAGGACTCTAAACCACAACCCTGAAAACGAAATGCTTACACCACAAGAAAATATGCGCACACAAACATTTTTTTTTCCCCAAGATGCATTTGGTCCTTAAAAGAACAAATCTACATTATATTTATCATATATTTGCCAATGTGCAATTGGAAGACAGACATTAGATTTGCAGGAAAACGTGCGTATCTTACTATCTAAATGATCAGTTTAGTAGAAAATGGTTTTAATTCATTCCTTTTGGGTCTTTTTATAAAAGGGGAAGTGACACTAGCACTTTCAACAAAAGCGGATGCACTGCTGAAAACAATTAGAGTCAAACTTAACATACAACCCTGTTACCCATGTTTTAAATGTAAAAAAAAAAAAAAGCCGAAACACAACATAAGGCTGTCGGCAAAGACGGCCATAAATTCTCAAAATGGACAAAAACGTGCAACAAGATTTAAAAAAAAAAAAGTCTTTTATATATAGAATATTGTATTATTTTGAAAAACGGGACATATCCCCAAGATTGAAAATTAATTCTAAAATTATAGTTAAGCAAAACAAATAGTTGAAAATGCCCAAATATGATTAAATGTGGTAGAAAGCCATGCCATTAGATATGCAATATATACGAGTGCAATACATGAACGAAGGCCGTATACTGTAGTTCACCATATGGAGTTATCGTCATTTTTTTTTTTTTTTTTTTGATGCGGCCTTAAGGCTAGCAATTCTTATTAAGCTGTAGGAGTAAAATATCTGGCTTTAACCCATGTTAGCTAAGTAATGAGTGCATCACCTTTGTCCTCATCCTTGTGTTTAATTTCAGAGTAAATGTGTGTGAGTGGCTGTCGTTTCAGTGTTTAACCCAACTGTTTGACTGTGCTGAAAATGTTGGATTGTACGTCTTCAAAGTGAAGAGACTTTGACGGGACCATCTCATTCACTAGCTCAGGCGTGGGCAAACCTTTCCATTCGCGGGCGTACAATTGTCCTAAAATTTTAACGGGGGGGGGGGCCGAGTCAGGAGCAGATAGATGGAGTGTTCGTGTGAACAAAGATAAATGACATGTAAAAGTCATGCATAAAGGCTAAAATGCTAAAATACTTTTATCATTTTCTACGCCATCTATTGGGGATATGTGGATATTGCAGGGAAAAGGTAGTATAATGATAATATAAATACATTTGGAAAAGTTTGCTGGGCCAGATTATAAGGCTGAACGGTCCGCATCTGGCCCCCGGACCTTAGTTTGCCCATGCTGTATGGCATTAGACAGTATGGAAAAGTGGACTGTATGAAACTATCATCCTATCTTCACGATAGAACCATCAAGAAGCATTTGTTTTATAGCCCAAAGACTAGGCCCATTTTTATACGTGGTCCATGGACCAACTGTGATCCTACTCCCCCGCACACTGATATGTTCTTATTGACACTTCGTGCTGCTATGTATGACACCAGAAAAGCTAACAAAAAAAAATCAGGACGTGAATAGACAAAAAAAAAATGCTGGTCTGAATCGTTGTAAAATGGACCACACCTGCTGTGTTTTTGTTATCGTTACTTTTGTTGTGTACCACAGTCTTCCTCATGTTCACAACCCTGTGACCAGGTTATAGTATTATTGAATTCCTTTGTGTACCTGATGTCATTTCAAAGCTGTTTTAGCCAGTATTGGTTCTGCTCATGTATGCACCTGCACTTGTTTCGATGCATGCACTTGCACATAAGACGCAGTAGTTGGCCGGGAATGTTCTAGAGTTTCTGAGTGTGTAAGGCAGAAGATTCGGTGGGTCTATTGCTTGTGATCCGAAAAAATCTTACATTTGTGGGAAAAGAAGACAGCGACCTGATGCTGTTTTGCTGAAAAGCTAAAAAAGAAACAGCCCTTTTGTGGCTCATATGTATGTGAGGACAGACAGTAGATGGGACAATATTTGATTTAGTTCCAGTAAAGTTCTTTCTAACTTGATTTTTGTTTAAAAGGTCCATATTGAGTGGTTGTAAAAAAAAAACAACAAAAAAAACAAACGCTGTAATACGGTGCACTTTAAACTGTAACATACTTACAACGGTTGAAATCTGCAGTACTGTATTCTAGGTTAGGGTAGTTTTTTGTGTGTGTATTTCTACCTCGATGGAGCATGTGGGCAGTGAGATGACCTGTTGTCCAAACTGATGTCATCTGTTTGGACATAGACTTTTTCTAAATATATAAATATATAAACATAAATATATAAACATATATATATATATTTATATAAACATACATATATAATATACAGTGTTCCCTCTCTATATCGCGGTTCTCCTTTCGCTCCCTCAGTACACGGCAGAAAGTTGTTTTTTTTAGATTCGATCACGCGAAATTTTCTCTATATTGTGAAATATAGTGAAAAATACAGTAAAAGACATAATAAAATAATTATACATACGAACGTTTCGGCTTTAAAAATGTGAATTGAGATAAGCGCGTTTGCGAACAATCGCTGCTAGCTTTGTTCACCTAGACGAGATCGTACACAGCATACTATTGGCTAATACAATACGTACTGGGTGTACTACTAACTAAGCAGGCTCTTCGGTTCTCACTATAACTCTACTGTGAATATAATTGTGTGGGAAAGCGTAATACAGTCTAGGAGTTGATAACAGTGTGGGGGAGGTTCGTAATATACACGTAAATATATACGTAAATAATGTAATAACTACCTCGCTTCTACTTCGCAATTTTGCCCATTTTGAGTTCTTGGGACGCAACTACCATAACATATATATTTACATATATATGTTTATGTATTATGGCATGTCATTCAGGAAATTAATCCTTGAATATATTGAATGAAAGTTTGAATGAATGAATATAAATATAAATATAAAGATATATCTGCTATAGGTGTCTTAGTTTCACCAGGCATGTAAAGGTAGAGTGTAACTATTCCGAAACAATGTGTAAACATAATATTGGTCAATATTATATATGTATATATATATATATATGTATGTATTTAAGTGTATTTAAACTTTAAATATATTCAAGGATCAATTTCCTTGAATGACATGCCATAATCTGTATATATATATATATATATATTTCCACAGTAATATGGACATCTACACACATTTCAGGCTAGTAATCTCCCGTTAAACGTTAACCACTGAACCATTAAAGTGTTCAGGATGTGAATGTCAGATGACTGTATTTTTCTTGTAGAGAAGAACTCAGGGGTGACCGATGAGCGACACTAATCTATTATTCACACATGCACTTAAATTATGTATGAATAACGTGCGGCTGAAGTAAAAGTACTGGTTTGTCTGTTGATGCTGGAAAAGTTTAAAAAAAAAAAAAAAAAAAAAAACATCAACCGTAACGTTTAGAAATAGAACTCGATTTAGCAACAATGTGATTTTGGTTCAATAAATCATCACTGTGCTCTTCGGATCGTGGCTCTTTAATCATCTTTGAGTCCGAGTGTTGTGTTATAGCTGAGCACTAAGTGGGGTCACGACCCTCCTGTTACTATATCGATTATCTGTTCTTCCTCGTCCACAGGTGGTCACTTTTTTTAAACATGTACCACAGGGGTGCCCAATAAGTGGATCGGGATCTACCAGTAGATCTCAAAGGGAGTGCTGGTAGATCCTGAGCAATTACATTTAAAGAAACAAAAAAACTAAAATAAAAAATGATAGATTTAATTGTATTTTAAGATGCTAATCACTAGGGCTAAAGTAAGGATCATAGAAGTGTTTCAAGTTTCAATGTAGGTAAATCACTTTACCCCGGGTAATTTGAAAACTAGCTCCTAAACTGACACCCCTGATGTACCAGAACCCCCAAAAATATTTTTAACCCTTTACGGAATCTTAATGTGTTAATGGTGTAAGAAAATATTGTTGCACTGAAACATTTCGATATTTCATTTCACAATACCATATCTATATTTTACAGAAACTGTGTTGATAACAATTAACCTGCAAATATTTACGACGTCAGTGTTCATTGTATTTTGTTTTTATTTCTTCTCCGGCGATTACATATATCAATCCCTCTGTTCCAATTTCAGAAACCTGATGTTAAACATGTTAAACAGCAGTGTGTGTTTTCCTATAACTGAATTGTTTATAAAAAAGTCAATATATCATCATGCCCATAGTCCATCCATCCATCCATCCATCCATTTTCATCCCCACTTCCGTTACCAGGTCGCGGGCGCAGCACTCTCCACGACCGCCGCCCAAATCCCACTGCACCGTACCAACCCCCCTGAACCTTCCTGTGGGTGGTGAGTCCACTGGAAGGTACCAACCGCCCTAACTGGGATTTGAGGTGAACCCTGGGGTTCCACACCAATGACAGAGACATTGCCTCTGAAGCCCATAGTATCGCAGTATATCACAATATATTGTATCATTGCCC